TTTTTTTTGCGCATCAGTAAGATCTTGCACTTTTTGGAACTTGAATGGCTTTAGTCCAAGCTCATTTTTCAATATTTGCCGAATGGCATATTGCGATATGTTCAGCTCACGAGCCATTTTTCGTCCACTGCGACGCGGATTTCGTTCAATTAGCTTCTTCACTTTTCGAACCATTTCTGCCGATGTTGCTGTTTTTTTTCGTCCACTTCCTTGACGTCGGGCTACGCTACCAGTATCATAGTAACGAGCGATGGTACGAGACACAAAACATTTATTCACTTTTAAATGCTGGAGGGCTCTAACGATAGCCACTTGTGGTTTTCCAGCCAAATGCAAAGCAATCACACTATCACGCTTGAATTCCATCACAAATAACTTTTTTTCTGAAAAATTCCCACCAAAACGCTTTTGTGGGCTTGTAAACAATATAATGAGCTGTCACTAGAATAAATCTGACAGCTGTGGGACGAGCGGTTTAGAAATGACAGCAGTCTGAAGTTGGTTGCAGTTTTTTCATCTCACCTTGTATATATATATACATGTATATAAATATATATATATAAAACAATTTAATTTACAAAGCATTTAATAAAATAGGTTTTTTTTTATTAAAATTTATAACTCAATTACATATGAATGTTGTTTGCAATTTCATCGCGCATAGAAATTGCATCAATATTTTCATTCTCAGTAGCAACTCCTTCATAATGACAATCCTCCACGATGTTATTTACTTCAATCAGATCAAGTCCATCATTCAGGCATATATTATGCATAATGCATGCCACAGCTATTGTTTGAACACAGTGTTCAAGATTTAACCTAACAACTTTATCAAAAATTGAGCGCCAACGTATTTTCAATGCACCAAATGTACATTCAATAACAGTACTAGCCTTACTATGAAGCTCGTTAAATTTCTTTTGTCTTGCTGTTAACGGTTGCAATCTTTTATATGGAGTGAGAATTGCTATTGGACTAGTCCGACAACAGTATCCACTATCGCCTAGCAGGTAGTAGCCTGGTGGAGGAAAATTTTGCAAATTAAATAATTCACTGCTTTGTAGAACCCGCTCATCGTTCACCGATCCTGGGAAACCAACACAAATAGATAAAAATTCCTTATTACTGGAACATACAGCTTGTAAATTGATTGATGTAAATGACTTTCGGTTCATGTATTGATCACGAAGTCGTACAGGCACAGCTATTGGTATATGTGTTCCATCTATGGCACCTAATGCACGATTGAAAATTGTAGTACCGGCTCGTTGGTTAAATTTTGTAGAAATGCTTTCACACTCACTTTCAGCTGGATATTTAATAACCGATGACTTTAATGAAAGGAACCCTTTCAAGCACTTGTAAACAATATCCCGCACAGTATATCTCGAAATTCCAAACGAAGCTCCTGTTACACGATAGCTTGCACCACAGCCAAGCCAATATAAAAATACAGTAATAATAAACCGGTCATTCCATCCTGTTTTAGTATTTAAAAACCTTGCACCGTAATTGAAAACTCTTTCCAATGCTATTACTGTAAGCCTTAAATGTTTTCTTATGATTGAATTATCTTTCCCCACAACAGCTCTAAATATTGCCGAAGTATATCCATTTTGGCATAAAAGCTCGCGCTAAATAGTCAAACTGATAATTTATGTTATTTACTGAAATTATTTTATAATTACCTTTGGATATTCTTCTAAGAATCTCTCTTTCAATTTATTATGCTGACTATATAATTCCATTAATTTGCCAAATTGCGCAAATAAAAATACTTCATCGATTTCTGCGTTCTCTGCCATCGCAAAATATGTAACAAAAGTATTGACATCAAAATATATTCACAGCTGATACTAGCTGTCAAAATGTAACTCGCACACTTTTTTGGGCTAAGTGGCTAAATGTGTGCAGTGGAAAAAATCCCAAAAAATCTACCATTTGGTTTAGCATCAACTTAGCCTAACTCGCACACGTCCTAAGATGTATATTATTAAATCTTTACTGTATTCTCTACCATATATTAAATGCCATGGAACATCCCTTTTTTAGATATAATGGTGAAATAATGGTGATCCAATTTACTGGATAATACCAATTGATTAAAAATAAGAGATAGAAGAAAATAAAAGTCAACTGTTTATATTTATTTAATTATATCAGCTGTTTATATTTATGAAATATAAACAGACAAAAGTGAATGTTTTTATTATTATTTTTATTTCTGGCGGAATATCAACTTACAGTTAATTTAATTTTAACTGCTTTGTTAATTTAGGTTTATATGTCCAAAAAATTATTTATAAAGTTTTAATTTGTAGTTGTAATTTTTTAAGTTTCTATTTTAATTAGTTAATTTAATGTATATTGACTATTAATGACTATGGATGAACAAAAAACTAATGCATTTTAAAAAATAAAGTATTTATATTTTGATGTGTTATTTTGTATTAAAATTAATTTATGTATTTATATAGCATATATATAGATATATATATATAGAAATATTATAATATAATATATAGAAATATTATAATATAATATATAGAAATATTATAATATAATATATAGAAATATTATAATATAATATATAGAAATATTATAATAGGCCTTTTCGGTGGCTCGCAAGTACGGTAAAAAATGCATGTTGGCTTATGTTGGCCACGCGAGTCATTGGCATCACTGTTGCAATTTGTCAAATGTTTTGTTTTGACAAACAGCAAAACTTGTATATGTGCATATAAATCAAATATATTTTTATAAAAATATTATAAAATTAAAATGAACACGGAATTAAAAGGAATGGTAAGAATATTGGAAATTTAAAAATAAAACACTAAGATAAGTAAATTTTTGTAGGTACTGTCGATGTTGGGAGAACAAAAGCAACGTTTTGCAGCGGCCGAGGGATGTAAGTTATTTCACGGATTTTTTAAATGTTATGAATGTTCGTGTCAAGTAGCACTCTAGAAAACACTTCGTTTCCTTTGTGGTCCATAGTTTGGGTGTATTTCTATAAAAAAATTTTTTAGAAAAACTTCAAAAATTATGTTTGTTTTATTAATTTTATGTATGTAAACTACAAATTAAATGAAATAAAATAAATGTTACTTGGTAATAACTAACATAATAAAAAATTCAATGTCCTTAATACTTACGATTTCTCCATTCTTATTATTTCTTCGTTACTTTTCAAGATTTTTCAAATTTTTGAATTCTGTTTGAATTTTTATTTCCTCAATTTTTGACATTTGATTGCACTATTCGTTGGAATTTTCAATGAAGGTTCACAATAGTTCGCTTATTGCGTTGGTAACATTTTTTTTTTTACTGGCCGATGTGGTTGGCTAGCATAACTATGCTGGCCGAGGTAGAAAAAATAGTGTTGTTGTTTTGCGTACATTGCGGCCAGTATAGGCCTGCATAGGCAAACAACTTGCTGTTTTTTGCCGTACTTGCGAGCCACCGAATACGCCTAATATAATATATAGAAATATTTGCTAACATTTCGAAATAAATGCGTTTCACTGTTCTTGTCTGGAAGCTGATACAAATCAAAATTAAAAAACAAAAAACTAAACAGACGATAAAATACAATATATCTCTATCCTAGGTATGGTAATTTTTTATTATCTTCTATTTCCATTATAAAACTTATGTTTTTATGAAACTTCTTCAATTTTTCCAATATTGTTTGTATTGCATTCGTCTTTACTATTCGAAAAATGTCAACCATATATTTCGTCAGTAATCTGGGTTTAGTTTTTAAATTTTCTACACATGTGTTGAGTAGTTCTTTCATTACAATATCCGCCACTATAGGTGACAAAAGTGATCCCATTGGTAAACCTCTAAGTTGAGTATACATTCTTTTTTGTATTTGAAGTATCTATTGTCTTTTATGCAGAAACGTAATATATCAATAAACTGTTTCTTGTTCATTTTTGTGTGTATGCTTCTATGCCGTCCATCTTTTGCTTATTACCTCCAAAGCATATTCTACCGGAATACAAGGGAACAATGATACTACATGAAACGATACCAATGATTCTTCTTCGTGTATATTAGTGTTGTTAAAACGTTCTTTAAATTGTGCAGAATTCTTTTTGTTGTATTTGGAATTTTTGGTCAGGTTTTTAAGAACATTTACTGAGTTCATATGTTAGGGAGTTAAGAGATGAGCAAATCGATCTTAATGGTGTATCCTTTTTATGAATTTTGGGTAATCCATAAAGTCTTGGTGCTATCGCTGTGTTTGTTAATAGTCTTCGTTTTTCTTTATCTGATATTATTCGTTTTGTGTGTAATTTTTCCAATCATTCATTACTTTTTCTTTCTAGAAATGATTTTGGATCCTTGTTCATCCATCGTTACGTCATTAAATCATTGAGTATTATCATCATGCGGGTGTCATATACCTTTTTATACATTGCCACCGTTACATTTCCTTTGTCTTCAGTTATAATATTGATTTCTGAATTTTCTCTTAAAAATTGTTTTGTTTGTTCAACTGTGCTCAAGACAAATTTATCATTTCTTGAAATGTATATGCTTTGTATATGTATTTATGGCTGTGGTGAGCTGTAATCTGGCATTCTCTTTTTCCTCAATATTTTCTAAAGTTTGTACACAATCGTCTCCATCAGATATATATTTCAGTAGTAGTATTCTCTTTTTATTTATTGGTATTGCGAATTTTGATTTCAGTAATAGAAGCCAATTGATGTTCCGGTATCTCTTTGTTCGTGTAGTTTACAGTAATTTATAGGAATACATGAAGAAAGAGTATTTAAAAATTATTTAAATTTTGTGACATTAGTTGCAAGAAATATTCTAAACTATTATTAATTTTGTTGTTATTGCTTTAAAATTATTATTCATATTAATTTTATATTAACTATTTAATTTTATAAGGAATGTAGATTGCTTAAATTATGTGCACATCTGCCAGATTTATTGTTTGTGAAAACATAACATTTGACAGATTGCAAATCAAGCGAGACATTGGCATCACTATTGCAATATGTCAAGTGTTATGTTTTGACAAATAACAAACAGCAAATCTTGCATATATGCACATAATGCAAGCAAATATATTTTGTATAAAAAATAATAATTAATATAAAATTGAAAACAGAATTAAAAGGAATGCTAAGAATGTTAAAAATTTTCAGCAACTTGCTGTTTTTTGGCACACTTGCCATCCACCGAAAACACCTATCAATCAATAATTATTCTATCAATTCTTAGGCATCTTTGCGAAATAAACACATGTGATACTTTTGTATTACCACTTTATTATTAATTAAAACATTTTTAAATATCTGTTGTTAATATTTATTATTTTAAAAGCAGTTTTCGTTTTACACGCAATTTGTGTTTTTTCTCATGCCTCTAAGAAGACGTGGTAAACACTAATTGACGCTAGACTAATAGGCTAGTTGCTGTGTGTACTTTGGTTTTTATACTACGCTAGATGGCGTTGCGCTGGTTAATGCGTTCGGCACAGCATTCCACCGCAATAAGCGCCGAAGGCTTTGGTGAAACTATTGAAGAATACTAGAAAATGCAACACTGCAAACCAAACATATTACTGAATATCTTTTCCTTTTTTCTTCCCTGTTAAATTTTTTTTTTTATCTATTGTTAATGAAACCATATTGACGTGTTTTTTTTATTCTGTAGACTCCTAAAAAAACCCGTCGTGATTTATTTTGATCGCTTGGCGATGAATTTGCTGAAGATTGTTTTATGTTACTAGAACTAGAAAAAATTCAAGTACACTTATCCTTTTGTTAAATTTATGCAGATCTGTATATGGCGGCTTAAGTTATTTACTTATATAATCAGCACGTAAGAAGATATGAATGCATTCTTTTAAACTTTTGTGAACAAAAACTGGTTGTTTTGAGTGATGCGATGTTGAGGTGAGCCTTAATTGTTGCAATCCTCTACAAAATTGGTTTAAGAACTTTTCCTAATTGAGTGCTGCGCCGTTGTCGACAAAAAATTCACCAGGTAATCGTAACACGGTGTCATAAACTAGTTCTGCCGCTGACGTGCCTATGTAGAACTGATCGAAGTAAGTGTAACCATTTATGTTTGGGTCTGTAAGTTTTATTTTATTTCAGACCTCAACCCCAGTATAACTAATGGAAGTAACTGCAACCATGTTTGTTTGGGTCTGGACATGAGAGCTGTTTTCAACGTGCGATGCAATCGCTCTATCGTGCTGTTTGCTGCTGGATGGTAAGGAGTCGTACAAATGCGTACGGTTCCCAGTAGGTTGGTATGAGCTTGAAACAAATCTGCTTCAAATTGGGTGCCTTGATCGGTTGTAATTTGCTTAGGTGCATCGAAACGTGAAACCCAGGTTGCATAGAAACTTGCTGCGAATGTATCTGCTGTTATGTGTTTGAGAGGTGTTATTTCTGGCTACCGACGGAATCTATGGATCATTGTCAGAGCATACCTATAACCTTGACATTCTGGAAGAGTGATCAGGTCAATGTGAACGTGATTAAATAGTTGGTCTGTGTCTGGCAAGAACATTGGAGCTGGTTTGGTGTGTTTGTTGATCTTTGATGGTTGACAGGTTTGACACTGACGAACTCATGACCACATTTTTACGAATTGACGACCGAACATACTTTGACGTTAAGAGATATAATGTGACTCTGGTACTAGGATGCGATAACGACTGTACCATTTTAAATACGTCTCTTCTCAGTAATTTGGGGATTCACATGTCTTCATTTTAACAAGATGAATGGGGCTTAACCATGGACTGTTTGACGGTCGTATAATCCCTTGCTCCAGTAGTGTGCGAAATTCATTACGAATTGCTGTTAATTTCTTAGCAGGGCATCTCCTTGGTTTTTCTTTCTGTTGGCAG